ACTACCACTTGCACGAGAATGGGACTCCACAAGGAGGAGTCCTCAGTCCTAGTCTTTTTAACATCCTTATGGAAAACCTTGTTACCATGACCTTTACAGAAGGGGTTAAATTGCTAAGCTATGCTGATGATATAGCATTAGTCATTACAGGTCCTTCACTTCTAATGTCGTACCTAGTAGCCAGAACTCACTTCTCAGCCTACTATTCAAGGCCCGATTTGCCTAATAATCCAAGTTTTCCTGAATTAATATATTTACTATAATTTTTTTCTTATGAAATGATAAAGCAACCCTTTTCTCTATGTATGAAGTCAATTTTTTTTTATTGGAGTTAAAATTAACGTAGATATATGACCGAACCTAACCAACCCTACCTAACCTAACCTAACCTATATTTATAGGTAAGGTTAGGTTAGGTAGCCAAAAAAAGCTAGGTTAGGTTAGGTTAGGTAGGTTAGGTAGACGAAAAAACATTAATTCATGAAAACTTGGCTTATTAGGCAAATCGGGCCTTGAATAGTAGGCTGAGAAGTGCGTTCTGGCTATTAGGTACGACATATATATATATATATATATATATATATATATATATATATATATATATATATATATATAGGAAGGTACTGGAAGGTAGTTTTGCTGTCTGGGTTCGAGGCCCACTGGTGGGTGTTGTCCAAAGATTGTTAATCTTCACTTGTGGTTTATGCAAGTATAGGCTTATAGCCTGGACACGAGTTCTCTCACATTGACAGTGGCTTGATGAAAAACGCTTTAACCGTTCCTATATATATATATATATATATATATAGGAACTCGACAACCTATGACAACCATCTTTGTAACCCATATGTAACTCCTTTTTTGTAACAAAGTTCAAATAAAGTAAATATATGTGTACATACAAAAGAATGGGGGTGGTAGGAGAAGATAATATTAGTGTTCAGTGAGAAACCACAAGGTCTCCTCTGAATACTTTTTATTTTCTTCTCCGAGGCTATGGGTCCCCACATTGGCACCAGAGGTGGTACCCTATATATATATATATATATATATATATATATATATATATATATATATATATATATATATATATATATATGTCGTACCTAGTAGCCAGAATGCACTTCTCGGCCTACTATGCAAGGCCCGATTTGCCTAATAAGCCAAGTTTTCCTGAATTAATATATTTTGTCTAATTTTTTTCTTATGAAATGATAAAGCTACCCATTACATTATGTATGAGGTCAATTTTCTTTTATTGGAGTTAAAATTAACGTAGATATGTGACCAAACCTAACCAACCCTACCTAACCTAACCTAACCTATCTCTATAGGTTAGGTTAGGTTAGGTAGCCGAAAAAGTTAGGTTAGGTTAGGTTAGGTAGGTTAGGTAGTCGAAAAACAATTAATTCGTGAAAACTTGGCTTATTAGGCAAATCGGGCCTTGCATAGTAGGCTGAGAAGTGCGTTCTGGCTACTAGGTACGACATATATATATATATATATATATATATATATATATATATATATATATATATATATATATATATATATATATATATATATATATATATATATATATATTCCCTGACTCGCAGTAATCCCCACAATTCCCCACTCACCCGTCCCCTCGGCCTCACAACCATTCCCCACTCCACTGTCCCCGCGTCCTCCCCACCATTCTCCATTCCCCAATCCCCTCGTCCCCACCATCCCAAACTCCCCTGTCCCCAATCCTTCCCCACCATTACCCCCTCTCTTGTTCTCCACTCTTCCCTCTCTCCATTCCCCACTCCCTCGTCCGATGCCTTCCCAAATGGTCTAATGTTCCCATCAGAAAATTGGGAACATCAAGTGATCTGATGTTCCCATCACTGAAATATAATAAAAACAGTTAAAAATGAAATGAAAATATGAAAAAATAAAAAAATGAACTATACTCACCAAATGAACGGTATGGTAAACAACACAGCTTAATTCCAATGCAATTCACGCAATATAATTAAATGAAAATGAAAATAAATCAAAATCTATGAAAATTCAATTTATCAATGCAATCAGAAACACTGAAATGGATTTGTAACATTTAGTATTGCATGTGTGTTGCTCTTACATGCAACAGATGGCATTGTTTTTCAAGAAAAGCATAGTTTTACCTGTCACAGGTGTGGCATCTATACTTATATTTACGAAATTAACGATATGGTAAACAACACAGCTCAATTCCAACACAATGTCAAACAAAATAATTCAATAAAAAACTAAATAAATCGAAATCTATGAAAATAGAATTTATCAGTGCAATTGGAAACATTGAAATGGAATTCGTGACATATTTAGTATAACGTGCATGTTGCCATTATGTGCAACAGATGGCGCTGTTTTTTCAAAAACGCATGTTTTTACCTGTCTCAGGGGTGGCATCTATATAGCAGGTATATAAAAAGACGCGCCTATTTGAATGCAACGTTGTGTCAAAATTTCAAAGCAATTGGTGAAGAACTTTTGGAGATTACAGCGTGTGTTGAAAAAATTATACATTCGAAAAGAACGGTATGGTAAAGAACACACCTCAGTTCCAACACAATGTCACAAAAAATAATTCCCCCAAAAAATATAATTTATAGAAATCTATGGAAATAAAATTTATCAATGCAATCGGAAAAAATTAAATGGAATTCGTGACATATTTGGTATAACGTGCATGTTGCCATTATGTGCAACAGATGGCGCTGTTTTTCAAAAACGCATGTTTTTACCTGTCTCAGGGGTGGCATCTATATAGCAGGCACATAAAAAGACGCGCCTATTCGAATGCAACGTTGTGTCAATATTTCAAAGCAATTAGTGAAGAACTTTTGGAGATTACAGCCTGTGTAGCCCTCACGTCCATCAGATGGCGCTGTTTAAAAAAAAAATCATGTTTTTTCTTGTCACAGGTGAGGCATGTATATAGTAGATATAGAAAAAGACGCGCCTATTCGAATGCAACGTTGTGTCAAAATTTCAAAGCAATCGATTAAGAACTTTCGGAGATTAGCGATTTTGAACAAACGAACATTTCCATTTTTATTTATATAGATGTTATTTCATTCTGGTGCAATAATATTTCTAGCTGCCTGTTTTTCATTTATTTGTTTGTATGTTCCTTTGTTACCCTTACTTAAAGTATATTGCTTTGCATATTAAGCGGTTTACTTTTGTATCCCTAGACAATTGTAGTTAGTAAGCATTTATTTCTATTTTACAACTGCAAAACCAGAGGAACCATACCCAGAGGTCAAGGGTTATCTTGAGATCTTGAGATGATTTCGGGGCTTTAGTGTTCCCGCGGCCCGGTCCTCGACCAGGCCTCCACCCCCAGGAAGCAGCCCGTAACAGCTGACTAACACCCAGGTACCTATTTACTGCTAGGTAACAGGGGCATTCAGGGTGAAAGAAACTTTGCCCATTTGTTTCTGCCTCGTGCGGGAATTGAACCCGCGCCACAGAATTATGAGTCCTGCGCGCTATCCACCAGGCTACGAGGCCCCTTTTAAACAGTGATCAACACTGTTGGACATAACAGTGATCAACATTCAGGCACAGCTAGGTAAGGATAGGTTAGGTTAAGTTAGTTTAGGAATCAACACTCACACACAGTTTGGATAGGTTAGGTATCAACAAACACACACACAGTAAGCTAGGTTAGGTATCAACACACACACACACACACAGTAAGTTAGGTTAAATATCAACATACAAACAGCTAAGTTAGGTTAGGTATCAACACTCACACAGATAAGTTAGATTAGGTATCAACACACACACACAACTAAGTTAGGTTAGGTATCAACTTTCACACAGCTTGGTATCAACACACACACAGCTTCGTTAGGTATCAACAAACACGCAGCTTCGTTAGGTTAGGTATCAACATACAAAGAGCTAAGTTAGGTTAAATATCAACATACAAACAGGTAAGTTAGGTTAGGTATCAACACTCACGCAGCTAGGTTAGGTTAGGTATCAACACTCATGCAGCTAAGTTAGGTTAGGTATCAACACTCACGCAGCTAGGTTAGGTTAGGTATCAACACTCACGCAGCTAGGTTAGGTATCAACACTCACGCAGCTAAGTTAGGTTAGGTGTCAACACTCAAGCAGCTAAGTTAGGTTAGGTATCAACACTCACACAGCTAGGTTAGGTATCAACACTCACGCAGCTAGGTTAGGTTAGGTATCAACACTCACGCAGCTAGGTTAGGTATCAACACTCACGCAGCTAAGTTAGGTTAGGTATCAACACTCGCGCAGCTAGGTTAGGTATCAACACTCATGCAGCTAGGTTAGGTTAGGTATCAACACTCACGCAGCTAAGTTAGGTTAGGTATCAACACTCACGCAGCTAGGTTAGGTTAGGTATCAACACTCACGCAGCTAGGTTAGGTATCAACACTCACGCAGCTAGGTTAGGTTAGGTATCAACACTCACGCAGCTAAGTTAGGTTAGGTATCAACACTCCCGCAGCTAAGTTAGGTTAGGTATCAACACTCACACAGCTAAGTTAGGTTAGGTATCAACACACACGCAGCTAGGTTAGGTTAGGTATCAACACTCACACAGCTAGGTTAGGTTAGGTATCAACACACACGCAGCTAGGTTAGGTTAGGTATCAACACACACGCAGCTAAGTTAGGTTAGGTATCAACACTCACGCAGCTAAGTTAGGTTAGGTATCAACACTCACACAGCTAGGTTAGGTTAGGTATCAACACTCACACAAGTGCATTAAACAAACAAATCAATCAGCAACACTAATACTGAGATACCTCAACAATCTCTGTTTAAATCAATATATTAGGACCAATTTTCACCATAAAGTAGACTTGTCACTTTATACAGTGCTAGAGCAACACAAGTGTTCCCTGCTCGCCTGAACCTCAGCAACAACACCCCAGGAGCACAATGCTCTCGGGTGACGATGGTGACAGAGCACTTAAGAGACCACGAGACTTACGTTTGTAGTGAGGCTGCTTGACACGTTCGTTGTTGATGGGTGGCGAGGTAGAGGTTGTTGTAGGGGAGGTAGTGGTTGGTGTAGGGGAGGGCTGAAGTGTGTGATGTAGCAGTAGGCGACCAGCAGGAGAACCACGGCCATACACGCTACTCTCATGTGTTTCCTCTCCACAACACCATATTGAAGCATCTTGTTTCTAGTGACCTCCTCTGTTGCAAATATAATGAAAATATATACATTGTGTATTAGAGTATTCCTGCACTGTGGTATTTGTCTAAATTTACCTTGGAAAATATTTTCGTATTAAACGATATAATTATCAAATCCCTGATTGAGGCAACTTCTGGGTGAGAAATTCCTTTAACAACAAATATGCCCAGAATATCATTATATAAACTTAGTTGGCTCTTCTATTTTCCTCTTCTGATTAAATTGCTTCAGCTGCTGAGGTTATTGTCACCGGATATTATCAATATGTGTTTGTTGTGACCCAGCTTATGGTCACCATCATGAGGCTAATGGGTTATAGATTATTTATAACCTATAACAAGTACCGTTGCTCTCGCGTATTGCAAACAACCGAAACGTAAATGTATTAATGTATCTTGTATTAAATTAAAAGTTAGAGTTTGTACTAAATACTTAATAATGTATAAATTACTTTCAAAGTGGGCATTTATATAATATATGGAGAAAGTAACGAGTATGTCTGAGATGTCACATAATGGTTCCTTTAGTATGGAAACAATTTCAATTGACTTATAGATGCATAAAATTACCCAGCAAACAAATCGTTTCTCTGCCACCTTAATTTGCTTATAGAGAGGTAAAACTGTAACTATTTGTAAAAAGTCGTCTTTTTAACATTGAAAATACATCAATATCAAACAAAATCTTGGTGTTTTGGGGGCGACAAATTTACAGACAACAGTTTTTGACTTTTAATGCTATTTTTTACATTCAGTACAATTATTTAGTGTATGTGTGGGTATATGTGTGCATGTGTTTGGTATGTATGTATGTGTTTGGTGTATGTGTGTGTACTCACCTCCGGTTCCTCATGGGGGGTGGTTCCCCCTGCTGAGGTTCGTGGTGAGCGGGGTGGCCTGGTGGTGGTGTTGAAAAAGGCTGCTCGCTAGGGGGGTTCTGTAACCCCTTCCTCGTTCCCCGTTTCATCGGCTGCGGTCTCGACACCTCTTCCATCTCCGGCCATCTCTTCTGTGTCTCCTGCGGTCTCGGTGGAGGTGTTACCATCTTGTCGATTGTCCCCTGCTCCTGTGCGTAAGCGACGCGGCCGTCTCGGCAGCTCTCGTACGCTTCTTCGGTGTCGTCTGCTACCTTGAAGGACGTGGTTTGCGCTCCTCAGCCTCGTTATGCGACTTGCGTCGGTGAGCTTAAGGAGTGGCTTTTCCGCTTGATCTGAAGATTCCCGAGTTTATGAAGGGGCCCACGGCGGCTGGGGGATCGTCCCCTTACCGACAGGGAATATTTGATTTGGGAGGCCTTCAAGCGAAAGTATCCTTGGGCTTCGGAGACGTATGGTTCTGTCTCTGAGAAATGTATTCCTCACTCATGATTCCTTTGTGTATTGTGGGTTGTTTCCATTTGTGTGCATGGTTGTGGGGTGTGGGTCGGGTGTGTTTGAGTGGGTTATCTTGAGGTTATCTTGAGATGATTTCGGGGCTTTTTTAGTGTCCCCGCGGCCCGGTCCTCGACCAGGCCTCCACCCCCAGGAAGCAGCCCGTGACAGCTGACTAACACCCAGGTACCTATTTTACTGCTAGGTACCAGGGGCATAGGGTGAAAGAAACTCTGCCCATTGTTTCTCGCCGGCGCCCGGAATCGAACCCGGGACCACAGGATCACAAGTCCAGCGTGCTGTCCGCTCGGCCGACCAGCTCCCTCTACCGGGTTGGGCGGGTTTGTTTCTCGTTTCCTGCGTGCTCCGGTTTGTGGTTGTGGGTTTATTTGTGTGGCTTGTGTGTGTGTGTGTCCGGTTCCTGGGTCCGGGGTTTGGTTCGTGTGTGTGTCTGGTTGTGGATGTCGTGTTCTTATGTTATGCTTTGTGGTTCTATGTTTTTATGATGATGTTTGTGCGCTTGTTTGTGTAGTGTTGAGTGCCCTTCAGGCTGTTGGCGTGACCCGGTCTGGGTTTATGCTTTTTGGCGTGTTTTGCCATTGTGCTTTTCTTTTTGTTTGTTGTATTACTTGTATTCCTTTCTTGTTATTATTATTATTATTTTCGTTTTGTGTTGGTGCCTCTCCGTGTGTGTTCGTGGAGCTGGTAGCCTTGTTCTGTATATTTAATGTTTTGGTGTGTTATTTCTGTATTGTATTCCACTATGTTTAACTTAATTGTTGTATTTTGTTTGTAATTATTGTTGTTTTGTGGTCGGCCTTTCCGGCCGGCGTTTTTTGTGTTTAGTACATTTGTTCCTTTATGTTTTTGCACGTTTGTGCTTTGTCATTTTGTTCTGTTCTATGTTGTATTTGTTTACTTTTATTGTACTTATAAGCATGCTTGCAAGTAAAAAAAAAAAAAAAAAAAAAAAATGAACACGGGTGTACCCCCTGAAGACGCAACATTGCAATCAAAATTATTCGCAGCACCCTGTGATGCAAATGATATAATCACAACATCCAAAAAAGTTCTGCAGAGTGAGATCTAAATAACTAGCTGGGTTAACACAACACTGGTAACCCCCTGTCAATTCTATTTTAACTCTTCATCTCACAGACGACAAACTAATGATTAATCCATTACTCTGCTACTTAGTGATGAATTACGCTAACACAATCCTTTGTAGCACTCTGCAATTAAGTAACAATGCAATGAAACTAGCAGCCCGCTGCAATTACTTTACGTTACACTGCAACCAAGCAAGGCACGGTAGGTTCATGAGACACTTCTCTGGAACTCCAAGTTACTTTAACTCTCGGCACCTGAATCGATAATCAAGCAAATGTTTTTATAATCAAGAAAATCAGTTACAGTAATCGACTCTCTGATAATTACATTAATTGACTGTCTACACCAGTCAGTAATAATTAGTTTACGTTTACTCTATTTTACTTTCCTCCTTTTTCTCATTCTTTGTCACTCATTCTGAACTTTCCCTTTCACCTGACCAATCATCCTCACTCCTTCCATCCACCCCTCTACCTCCCTCACCCTATACTCTTTTCAAATTCGTTAACTCGTATAAAATTTTCAATACGGTACATAATTACGTAAGTGTAGTTACAAGTTGAGAACTTCACTCGTGGTGTCCCATTACTTTTTGTCGTGTAATGGTTTGAGACTGCTGACGGTTTTGGCCATCACCTTCTCACTTAGCCTCTTCCAACTGCCTTCTCTGTTTGCAAAAGAAAACTGTCTAATATTTTTTTGGCCACCTTGTTCTTGAAGATGCTTGTTTCAGAAATTCTTCTTTGTCAATTTGGTTGATTGCTGTTAGTATTTTGTAAGTGGTGATCATATCAACTCTTATGTTCTGTCTTCTAATTTTAGCATGTTTAACGCCTCTAGTCTCTCCTTGTAACTCTTGTTTTTTAGTTTCATAAGGTATTTTGTAGCTTGCCGTTGTACCTTTTCCAGTTTACTGATCTACTTCTTGATATATGGGCACCATACAACTACTGCATATTCCAATTTTGGTCTCACAAAAGTCATGAACAGTTCCTTCATTATTTCACCGTCCATGTAATTATAAGCATGTCTGAAGTTGAAAAGCGATGCATACACTCCTCTCACAATGTTCTTTACGTATTTCTCTGGTGACAATTTACAATCCAAAACTACCCGTAGATCTCATTTTTTATTTGAATTCTTTAATTCCTTCCCACATAATTCGTAAGTTGTGTGTGGTCTATTTTCTCCGATTCCACATTCCATAACATAATAAAACATTTATTCACATTGAATTCCATTTATCACTTGATGCATCAAGCACTTATTTTATCTTGATCAATTTGGACGGCATGACAATCGTCCGCATCTCCTTTCTTCCACAGTATCTTAACATCATTCGCAAACATGTTCATATAATTCTGTATTCTTTCTGGAAGATCGTTTATGTAGATGATGAACATTACTGGTTCAAGAACTGAACCTTGTGGTACTCCACTAGTAACACTCCTCTAGTCAGATACTTTGTCTCTGAATTACCGCCCTCATCTGTCTGTCAGTTAGAAATTTTTCATTCATGTCAGAAGTTTTCCTTATGGGAAACTTTCCACAGCATATATAAATTATTTAACACAACATGCAATAAGAAATTACTGCTGTTTTTGGGTTAATCAAATCATAAATTTAATTAAATAAGTTAGTCCTAAAGGGATGTGACCTAACGATTGTCATTTGAAGACGAATAACAGTAAATGTTTGCCACGTCACCAAAAAATCATTTCACAACCAAATCTGGACTCCTGGTTCAACCTTGACAAACAATGAAGTGTGTTGACAGGTAAATCATTTAGGGCGTTGACAATGAAGTGTGTTGACAACGAGTGGACGTCTGGACGCCTCTGGACGAACCGATGGCTCTTGGGAGTCACCGGATCACGTTTGGTTTTTCAATTTTGGATTTGAACCTGCCGTTTGACATTTCTCTTCAACGGTCCAGTTATACGACGCCTGGCGCACATATCGCCTTGGGTCACTGGGTTGTTAATAGATTTATTCACGTGTTCTGGCTGGTTCTCCCGGCGGGGTGATGGTGTCCGGCGCCGGCTTGGCCGAGAAGTACCGGCAGTTGGTGGGTCTTGGTGGGCTCCTGGTGTGCCCTCAGTCGTGGTGGGCAGCCGGCTTCTGCTCTGCCAGAGGGCACTGGGTGACTTTTGCGTTTTAGTTGAAGGCCAAATTTTTGGTTTTTCTACACAGGGTTCTCTGTGTGGGGCGGGGCCAGTGCTTGTCACTCTGAGGGTCTCCTAGGGTGTTACGGACCCGAGCCCAGCGTCCGAGCACGGAGCAGTGACGACCGCGCCATCTGTGGGTCAGCTCCCGAAACCCCCTCCAAATGGACGACGCCACCTAGTGAGGACGAGATATACTGGCCTCAAGGGCTAGTTTCCCGTCCTGATCAGCTCATAACACAGCCGCTGCTGACCTCTGGTGAGGTGGAGCTTAGACAGCAACGCCATCTATGGAGTGGATACGTCGGGCGTTTGTGTCTAAGCCTGTAAGTGAGGTGCCCTAGAGTGTCCCTAT